CCTTGCCCTTGCCAGGCAGGGGGCGGAACCCCTGACCTACATCCCCGCCGCAAAAGATGATTTCTTATTCCAAAATCCACACTGCTTCTACACAATCAACGCTCGGGAGAAACTACCACGAAATTTCCAGGACTCCACTTGGGACTGCAGCTCAGCCAGGACTGAGGAGCTGGAACCAGCGGGTCGCAGACCCCAGCCGTCAAGCTGCCCTGTGAGCCCAACTCGGGGCCTGGGCCTGGACCCGCCCCGCCGCGAAGGATACCAGCGCCCCGGACGCGGGGGTTTCGAGGTGTCCCAGCACGATCCGCAGGCGGGCACTGGCGCGCGTCCGATGCATGGCTGCGACCTCCTGGAATCTGCGCGCTGGGCCTCCCGGGGTCTGCGCGCCTTGCCACCTTATGGGGCGGGCCTCCTCTGCTCACAAGCCGCTGCCTTCTGCCAGGCTCCTCCTGCCGCCCTGGCGTGAGCCTGCGACCAGCCCCAGTGGGCCGAGCCTCGCTGCGCCTCGCCCACTGTCGTCAGCCAGCGAAGCCAGCCTGGCTTCCACCGCGGCAGGGAAGCTGCAGAGGCTCACCGCCAAGCCAGGACTGGATGAAACATCCATAAGGCTGCTGTTACCACCCTCCCACCCCAGGGCCCTCACTCCCCCACGCAGGGCCTGAACCAAAGAGCACCCAGCTGGAAATTTCCCATTTCCCTACCAATGTATCAGCACGCAACGGCAATCCCAGCTCTCCAGGAGGCTGAGGCAGGAGGATCACAAGTTTGACACAGCCTGCACAACTTAGTGACTGAGACCTGTTGCAAAAGTACACGCGCGCGTGCACACACACACACACACCCACGCACCCACGCATAGCAGTAATTAGGTATTATATTGTGAGCATGTAGAAAGGGATATTGGCTTAATCTCTAAAAAGGAACATTGGTTTGACATCTAAAAACCAAAGTATAATCCTGTTAACAGACTAGAAAACAATTGTATGTTTAGCTCAACAGACACAAAGAACGAGATTTGAAACTTCCAACGTCTCCTCACAGCAAAAAACTTCCAGTACATTAGAAATAGAAGG